GCGGGCACACTTTTTTGAATAAAAATGCTTACATCTATATACCAATCGTTAGTTCTTCGTTAGTTCTCGATAGTTCTCCAATATTAACGTTAGTTCTCAAAAAATAAATAAGTTACGAGGCATACAAAGTGGGTACGCCAACTTCACAGTTATAGAATTTCCAGCGGGCACACTTTTTTGAATAAAAATGCTTACATCTATATACCAATCGTTAGTTCTTCGTTAGTTCTCGATAGTTCTCCAATATTAACGTTAGTTCTCAAAAAATAAATAAGTTACGAGGCATACAAAGTGGGTACGCCAACTTCACAATTATAGAATTTCCAGCGGGTACACTTTTTTGAATAAAAATGCTTACATCTATATACCAATCGTTAGTTCTTCGTTAGTTCTCGATAGTTCTCCAATATTAACGTTAGTTCTCAAAAAATAAAAAAGTTACGAGGCATACAAAGTGTACGCTAACTTCACAATTATAGAATTTCCAGCGGGCACACTTTTTTGAATAAAAATGCTTATATCTATATACCAATCGTTAGTTCTTCGTTAGTTCTCGATAGTTCTCCAATATTAACGTTAGTTATCAAAAAATAAAAAAGTTACGAGGCATACAAAGTGGGTACGCTAACTTCACAGTTATACAATTTCCAGCGGGCACACTTTTTTGAATAAAAATGCTTACATCTATATACCAATCGTTAGTTCTTCGTTAGTTCTCGATAGTTCTCCAATATTAACGTTAGTTCTCAAAAAATAAATAAGTTACGAGGCATACAAAGTGGGTACGCCAACTTCACAGTTATAGAATTTCCAGCGGGCACACTTTTTTGAATAAAAATGCTTACATCTATATACCAATCGTTAGTTCTTCGTTAGTTCTCGATAGTTCTCCAATATTAACGTTAGTTCTCAAAAAATAAATAAGTTACGAGGCATACAAAGTGGGTACGCCAACTTCACAATTATAGAATTTCCAGCGGGTACACTTTTTTGAATAAAAATGCTTACATCTATATACCAATCGTTAGTTCTTCGTTAGTTCTCGATAGTTCTCCAATATTAACGTTAGTTCTCAAAAAATAAAAAAGTTACGAGGCATACAAAGTGTACGCTAACTTCACAATTATAGAATTTCCAGCGGGCACACTTTTTTGAATAAAAATGCTTATATCTATATACCAATCGTTAGTTCATCGTTAGTTCTCGATAGTTCTCCAATATTAACGTTAGTTCTCAAAAAATAAAAAAGTTACGAGGCATACAAAGTGGGTACGCCAACTTCACAATTATAGAATTTCCAGCGGGCACACTTTTTTGAATAAAAATGCTTATATCTATATACCAATCGTTAGTTCTTCGTTAGTTCGTAAGTTGTGGCTCACGGAAATTAAACTATCAATTTTTTTAAATTTTACGTTTGTTATAAAATCTGGTAACGCTTTTGACTTCAGCTCAAAATGCTTAGCAAAATGATACCAAACAATATATATTTTGCTTACAAAGTGTAAAAGCTACGAATATTTTAACATGTTTTTATTAGCTAGCTACTTGTCATAATCATTTCGTGTTTGGACTCATTTTTCATTGAATTAAACAACAAATATACTAACACTAACCATTTTACTGTATATCTAACATCAAATGAATTGCAATTTTGAGGTATCATACAACAGATGTTATATTTCTACTTAGTGAATAGGGGATCGGGGCTTTCAGGCAATTAGGACAGTGGTGAGTGTGCGTGCGTGAGTCGGGTCACTCGCAGGTAGGGCTGAGCTTCAGCCGCACTCCGGTAAAAATCAGACTATAGCTGACATTCACGCTTAAATCCGTCGTTAATCTGAAGTTTGTAATTATTTTGGACTCTATCGACAGACAATATTGATTGGATTTATAGACAATCTCTTTTAAGTGTGGTTTTGTGAGTGGTTTTACAGATCACCTAAAACCCACTTAAACCGCTTGCAGCAAACATAAACACATCTGAGCTCTATTAATGATATTGTGATAAAATGAGGAAAGTTTTCGGGTTTTGACGTTCCACTTCGATTTTCTTCGTTTATTCGTAGTTGGAAATAATAAAAAGGTTCAAAGTATTATTTACGGCTATTTTCAATAACCGATATGTAAAATGTAAATTTCTCGACGTTTCTGAATTTGAAATCTGATCGCGTACAGTATATAATTGTAATTATAAGCTTCTTATATTGCAGATATTATTAAATGTCTGTATTAATTGGCCACTAAAGCGTATGCATTAGTACAACATTATTACCCTATATATTGAACTAAATTATCTTGTGGTCAGTATTGTGTTGTGTTTATGTAGTATTAATCAACAATCAATCATGTTGTCCATTTTTGTGTTTTCCTCAATCGTTTAAAAAACAAAACTACTACAGTTTGGATGTAGAAATCAAGCTTTCCCAGTTCAATAGAATTTTTATTAGTATTACAATTGTTTAATTTCTATTACTATAAATTTGAATTAGTATACTAATGTAAAACTGTAGTACAAGGTTGTAAAACAATGTCAAAAGAGAATATCCATTTCTGGGTTGATCAGTTCAAGTTACTTTTAATGAATGTTTTTTAACTAACACAATAAATTTGTTAACCCAAATCAAACAAAAACCTGAAAGAATAGTAATAACTCACAGATTTTGTTTGAGTTATATTATTAGAGTTGCATTTAATCTTGGCAACAATATTGACAACAACGCCAACAATATTGAGTGAGAATTCCGAAACACTCTGGAAATAGTTGCAAGAAGACACTTCTGTGATTTTCCTTATCTCAATAACCTATTTATTTTTCTTGTGAAATTCGTGCCAAGAAGCTTAATTTCAACACAGCTTTTTTTTACAAATGTAATACATACTAAGCTATAAGTTGACAATGAAATAATGCATGTTTAAGTGTATTTCACTGTAGGTTATCATTTTACCAAACTTATTAAACAAGCACACTTTGTGAATCGTATGAAGACCCTGATTATGACATTCCTAAAATTATAGGAAAGCTGCAGCCCTTATCAAAGTTTAATGAATGCAAGAAGATAGAGCCTCTGATGTGTGATTGTGTGAAAGAGGCCCAAAAGGAATTCGAGAAAAAAAAACTCATTCGTAGGATGTGCTCCGACATTTGAACGTGTTTGCTGTAGAAGGTGCATCGCAGGCTTTATGTCCGGTGGAATAAGCACAGGCACAATCCTACCTTTACCTAATATTTGAATCAACGTGTGGTTGCCAAATGCTGTTCAAGTTTGAACATTGAATTTGTCAGCTCAAGAGACACTATCTTAGGTGTGTTGGTAGACCAAAACACAGAATGTTTCAGGATTATTACAAAACCCGCTGGAAAACATGTTAGCTGAAAATAACAGAATACCATTACTTTCCCACCAAACATAGCATACGGAGCATTTACGTTTTATTTAAATTTTTAAAGTTAGTTTTTTTTAATATCCCATTTGGGCCCTTCTGACCCTAAAAAGTGGTTTAGGGATGTGTGTGTGGATGTTTACAAAGCTGCAGGCTACCTGTGGTTCGGTTCTCATGCCATTTGGTACTAATCCATGGTATTTCCTGGGTATTTTTTCCTATTTTTGAAATTTTTATTTTCCTGTTAAGCCCATAAAATAACGAAGGGATCGTATCAAAAAAATTCTCGATTTTGACTAAGATTTATTATTTTATGATAGTTTTAACTCTGAATAAAATGGTACAACTTCCAACATTACGGTTCAAATTTTATTGTTATTTTGGGATTTTATTTTTTACCCATACATATATATATATATCATATTTACTTCTACTACTTAATTGGGTGAACCTATGTTTCAGTTTGCTGATACCGTTTTTAATAAAATAACAAAAAAAGACAAAATATAAAAAGAAATCTATTATAAAACTGCACATTTTAGCAACAGTAGAGAAACTAATCCATTACATTATTATGTTACTTTTAACACACCAACGTTTTATAGATTGAAGGCAAAACGATTGTGTTGTTTGTTACCATACTAATTACCGAGATAACCTATCCATTCAGCAACCTTAACATTAATCCAACAAGACGCAATTCGTTGTCGTACTTTGGATAGAATATACAGTTGTTTTGACAAGTATAAGGAGAATCCAAAGTAAAAGCTTTGACTACATTGTGTTTCAAAACCGAAAAGCGCCCTGCAGACGGGGCAATTACTGGCGGCCACAAGTAAAGGCCAGTAGTGGCGGCCAGTTCTACTGGACAGGATGAACCCCTTCAGACGGGGCAAATAGTGGCTTCCAGTAGTTGCGGCCACTACCGGTGTAGTGGCCTCAGTTCTGCACTGAGATGTGAGCACAACACATCGTATACCATGGAGGACGTTGATGTACAATTCGAAAATTCTGTTTGTGAGGTTGTTAGTGAAGTTGTTAGTGAACTTACAGTGTGTTTGAGTGAAGAACTCAAAGATCTGTTGAGTAAGAAAAGATCTTGTTGGGTAAGAGAGTGGGTAGGGCGGAGAGAGGAAATGGGGGCCTCCAGTACAATATTCCGTGAACTTGCAGAGGAGGATCCTCTTGAATATAAGAAAGTTATGAGAATGAGTGTGATGCAATTTAATCACCTGTTAACTTTAATTGAACCAACAATTTCTAAACGTGATACTGTAATGAGGAGCGCAATTCCTGCCCGTACAAAACTAGAGGTCGCTTTACGTTTTTTAGCTACTGGCGACAGTTACCAAAGTCTAGGACTTATGTTTCGTTTACCAGCCAACACCATCTCATATTTTATGCCTTCTGTTCTAAAGGCCATTATTTCTGCATTACAAGATTATTTGAAAGTAAGTATGTAATCCTAACTTATTCATATAAACTATAGATTAGGATTTGTAAAGTAGTATTAATTTACACAGGTTTAGGAATTCGTAAATAAATTGGCATCAGAACTGTATCAGAAACTATAATTTTTAGTTAATTTTTTAATTATTATTCAACATTTTTAATTATTATTCAAGTTGACGATACAGGAATGGCCCATCAGTTGTATACGTTTGTTGGTCTGTTGTATATTCATCATTGTCATCGGATAAATTGCCATATGAAGACTTTCCTGACAACATAGGAGAAGGTGATGACATAGGAGGTTCTGGTGATGCCAGCAATGCCAACCTCTCTTTGGTTAGCATCGACTGAATTTTTTCTTGACAAGTTAGTCGATTCCTCAATGGCAATTCTTTTAATTGTGCTGCTACATAATTCCCGAAAAGGTCAACCTCGTCAGCAGAAACATTGCTTGTTGTGGATGCCCGATTATTGGCTGTTATTTGTTGTAATTTGTGAACCGTTGATTCAATCCTTGCCAACTTTGTTACACGACGTATTTTGGTCCTAGGCTTCTGAAAATCGGCACCGGCATCGGATTTTGATGTGTTTTCCTCATGGGGATCATCAATAGCACCCTCATCCTCTTCAATAGCACCCTCTTCAGTTTCAGTATCTGCAGTAGTTACATTCATTTCCTCCTTTGAAGTAGTTTGATTATCCTGAAAATAAATTTTATATCTTAGATATTACATTATTAAGAATGTTACTTTTTTTTAGGTTCCAAACACTGTGGAGAAATGGGTGGAAATTCAAAGAAATTTTGAAGCTAAATGGAATTTCCCGCTATGTGTTGGTGCAATAGACGGAAAGCATGTAGCTATAAAACGACCGCCTGGTACCTGTTCTGAATATTTTAATTACAAAGGAGGTTACAGCATAGTGCTTTTAGCATTAGCAGATGCTGATTGTAAATTTATTTACATTGATGTTGGATCAAATGGTAGAGCGAATGACTCAACTGTTTTTAGACAGTCCACACTTAAGTCAGCAATAGACAAAGGAGAACTAAATTTACCTACTGATTACTTCTTGCTGGGTGATGAGGCGTTTGCATTGACTCCTACCCTAATGAAGCCATACCCAAAGAAGAAGTTTTCATTAATGGAACGTATATTCAACTATCGGTTGTCACGGGCACGCCGAGTAGTTGAAAATGCGTTTGGGATACTAGCAGCAAGATTCAGAATATTTGGTAGGGAAATTGAAGTTGATATCGAAACTATTGACTTGATTGTGCAATGTGCATGTACGTTACATAATTGGCTGCGAACAACATCCCCAAGTACATATTTTGAAAGAGGATGGGTGGACTATGAGGACATAGACACTGGACTTTTCCATCCGGGTCTATGGCGTTCCAGTGGTACTGAATTACCTTCATTGAATGTTAGTCGTCGAGCAAACTCATATTCCATTAAGGCCTCAACAACAAGACAGCGCCTTGCTGAATACTTCAGCGGAGATGGACGTGTACCATGGCAAATGAAAGCTATAGGCATGTAAATATAGAGGCTAGGGCAACATCTTACTATTAAACGTGTACTTATTTCATATTGTTCACATTAACGTACACATAAGAGTTATGTGTATTATCAAATAACTTAATGTATGAAATAAAACATACATAAAACACATTTTTTGTTGTCAGTTTTTTAATAACTACTAGGCCTACTTCTGTTATTATTATTAAAATACATATTTTGGACATTACAATGTTTTTTTTTTTTTTTGGAGGGGGGGATAAAATGAAACAATAAACCAGATGGAGGGAAAATGCAAAAATGTTGTTTATCTCAACATTATATGCTGTAATTATGAAAAAAGGTTAAATGTATGTGTATTAATTGTTTATGAAATATTTTAGGTAAATTTCCGGCGTTCAATTGGAAATTTGATTATGTGTATATTTACAAATCGCTACAAGTCCATGGTTACATTAAACCTAGATATTTCATTAATATATTACTTACCAAATTAGACTTTGAGTTCCTGGTGATGGCGACCTCCCTCAGAAAACTATCGGCTAGTGTGAACCACTGCAATTTTGGTACGTATATCTCTTCTGTGCTTGCACCAGATTTTTTCGAATCATTAACTTTTGAGAGTTCACTTCTGTATGTTGTTTTTATTGTTTTTATTCGGGCACGCAAAAATGCTAAGTCGGGAACTTCGATTCCGAGTCCTTTCAGTTCTGCCTGTAATTTCAACATTGCACTTGTTCTCTTTGTTTGATTTGCATAATCAGGATGACGCGTATTCCATAATACCTCAAAGTTTATATATGTTTCTAAAAATGTACTGATGTCATCTGCATTCCATTTGACACACTTCCTTTTCACTGGTTCTGGTTTTGCAGCCATATTTTAAACGCACTAGGCACAGCAAATATTACACGCACAACGTTTCTCATTCGAGTCATCCACCCTACTGGCGACTTGGCGACTGACTGGCGGTGGCCAGTGCCTCCTCAGACGCGGCAATTAATGGCCGCCACTAGGTCACGTGACCAGCTATTGGACGTCAGGCGGCCAGTAAAAGCAAACTCGTTTGCTTTCAAGAGGCGGCCAGTATTTCGTTCAGTTTACTGGCCCTTTAGCAGGAGTACAACCATCAGACGGGGCAACTTTAGTGGCGGCCATTAATGGCCTTTACTTGTGGCCGCCAGTAATTGCCCCGTCTGCAGGGGGCTTAAGGCCCCGTTTATGCACCAAGAGCGGAGCGGTAGCGACAGCGGGAGCGATTTCTAACACCATTGAGTTAAATGGGGCTGTTTAAGCCGGGTTTACACTATGTAGCAAAACCTGCTATATAACTTTTGCTATATAACATTGTTATATAACTTTTGCTATATAACATTGCTATATAACTTTTGCTATACAAAAAAGTCACAGACAATTTTAGTGATTCCGGTGCTCGAGCTATATGTTATATGTAGCACAACTTCATTCGTATTCTGTATCGAAAAGTCACGCCGTAGAGGCTGCTGCTCGCGGTAGCTATCACGGCGATCCTTAGGTTTTTTTGGAAGTCAGAGGCGGAAGCAAAGGTTTTAGGTTCGACCGCTTCTTCCTCCGATAAATAAGTACAGTGTAGCAGATTTATCATGGGACCTTAATGATGACGATCACGCTGACGATCCATAATTAAGACGCGAAATAAGGCTACGAAAAAGTAGCCTCAAAAACGTTTTACGTATTACCACAACACCGGTATTCCACGGAACAGTTCAATTAAAGTTTATAATAGTATTCCGATCCCCCGCACTGTCACTTTCCAGTCCTTCCATTGTAAACAAAGATTGCTGAGCAAAAACGTCCGTACACAGGAGGCTACAACTGTGAACTGATGACACTAAATGCTACATATAGCATGTAGCAGATGCTAGACGTAAAATATTTGTATAACATTGCTACATATAGCAATGTAGCAAGTATTAGTTAGATGTAAGTAAGTAGTTAGATGTAGCAAGTATTTCTTTTGATCTTTACCGACTCCCAATGGTTAGCACAATTTTTGCTATATTTAGCAGGATCTGCTACATATAGCAGTGTTATATAGCACTTTTGAAAAGTAACTTTTTCTACTTCTAGCAAATGTTATATAACATTGCTAGATGTTACACAAATCTGCTATATAGCAGGTTTTGCTACATAGTGTAAACCCGGCTTTATGCACCAAGAGCGATAGCGATAGCGGTTGACCTCCCGCTGCGGTTTCTAATTCGCCCGCTGTGTAGTTAGAAATCGCAGCGGTTGCTTGGGATAGAGCGGTTTTCAACTACTGTACATTGAGTCAAATGGGACTGTTTATGCACGGCGGGAGCGGGAGCGGCTGAAGCAGGGTTGCCAACTTGACCCACGCGCACGTGCACTTAGGACAAATAGTTGTGTTAATTATTTGGCAGAGTTTGAGTTGGCAAGACTGTGTCCCCATTCCATTCTCCTTTAACCAACCGCTACCGCTTCGCTCTTCGTGCATAAATAAACAGCCCCATTCACAGCGGGAGCGGGGCGATAGTTGGCCCGCTGGGCGACAGCCACGGCGTTTCCAATTCCAACTATCGCCCCGCTCCCGCACTTGGTGCATAAACGGCGCCTAACAAATACTCGTACAATAGGCTATATACTTCAAGGACGGCTGTACTTCTTCTCCTTTGTACTTCGTCAATGATTGATAAAAGTAAATTTATCTTAGGTTCGATCAACCAAAAACAAAAGTCCAATTAGAGTCACATGACAAAGTGGGCTTCCTTGCACTGACTGTACAGAAAGTTAAAGTTGCTAATTACTGCATTTACTTACTTTTGTCGCATTCTTTTTACCGCACTCCAGAGTTCCAAAGAAACAACACAAAGCGGCGTGCTTTTATTAGGCACGTACACTTGAAAATAAGTTGGCAACACTACGACCAGCTGTTGCAGTGTTTCCCATTTCGTTCAACGCATTGATTTAACCTAAAATAAAAACATCTTGTATAGTGTGTGAAAGATTAATTATTTAAAGATAAGTTAAAGATAATTTAATAATAATTTAGATAATTTAAAGTAACTGTAGGGAAAATACAATTTGTAACGTGGGTGCAAAATGCAGACACAAATATATATTTCCGAAGATATTTATCCTGTTTTGCGTTAATAAACAGTTTGTATTGTAACTTTTTAATACACCGTTTTCTTGTGTACTAGACTACGATGTTTATTAATTTATCGTCCTGTCATTCCATTAGGACTTTTAATGATAATTGGTACAATTTTTTTATAGCTGTGACGATTTCAAATAAAAGTCTACGTCCAAAGATGGGGTTTTCGTTGAACCATGTTTATATTACCCAAACAGTTAGGGGTTTTTCAAGTCCTGTGTTTCCCGCTATCAGCTGATTAGTTTCTGACGCGCCGTCATGTTGTGAAGCCACAGTCGAAGGTCACAACTGGTCAAACCGGCAGCAAAGCACCAACCAGTCCCCAGTCTTGATTCTCGGAAAGTACAGAATATTTAAAATTTCCTAATTATCAACATAAACTATGGTCATATCGGATTACCCGTCTAATATTGCACAAAACATTCAATTAAACTAAGTTACTAATACTGTATGGACATTGTGTTATTCCCTATTCCGCGCACAACCAAATTTGAATTTGGACAATAAAAATTATAAAGTAGGCTTAACGTGGTATTTTGAATGTAAAAACACTGAACACAACAGAACACCGACTTTCCTTCTACGAATTTTTAATTCGACATTTTTAAGCAAAAATAACTCTTCATCACTTGATGAAGATACTGTCTTACTAGCTTGAAATGCAACCTTTTGTTGACAAAATTTCACGCTGAAAATATGTTACTTGTTTACAGCTTTCTTTGTGAACGCACCCAAAGCACCAAAAACTTGGTCTAGACGATGTCCTCTTCTGGACTTATCGTTTGTATTCCAGGATAAAAGGATTACATCCTTCAAGCGTTATTTTCGTCGAGAACAGTTATTCATTTGTTCGGTTTCGCACAAATGGTTGTCCTTCCAAGGACAAACAGTAAACTCTTAAGCTCAACAACAAAACGACCGTTGGCTAGAAGTTGGGTCCTGCATACCTGGAAATGTAAAAGCTGTGTTGTGTTTTCAAAACCTTTTAGCTTTTAAATCTCATTATTTTATTCTAGTTAATCTTCTTAGTTGGTGGAGACAAATTACGGGGTTTCTTAACAACCATAGATTTTTTTAAGAATAAATGGTATACTAATTTAGAAGTTAGTTACATCGATAGACTATGTAATAAGTTTCTCCGGGATGACATTTAATTTTCCGTGAAGTTATGTTGGTAACATTGTTTAACACTTGATGGTATGACCGCGGTTGATCCATTCTCAGAAACCTTCTTACGTGACAGTCTGAACTCGGAATATATTTTCTACTGGCGCTTACTTATCAGTCGTTGTTGTTGGCAGTTGTGTTGTGTTGGCTACCCTGGTACCACTCAACTGACCTTGGACAGTCCACCGCAACTCTTCTGCAAATCTCTGTACATACTTCGTGTACGATTAGTTGTCGCAATTCCAGTAACTATGAAATATTCAACGCATTCAATCAAATATCCTCTATTGAGTGCACATTGATTATATTTTTCTTAATAGCTGAAACGTTTTGGGAGTCAGGATTTTTATTGGGCCACACCATTGCAGAATCACAAATCTGTTATGTGAAATATACAGGGTGTTCAAGAAGGTGGGAGACATAATTTACGTAGTGAATCCTTGGGTCAAAATAAAGAGTAAATCAAGAATGACATTTTTTCCAAAATCGCTTTGTTAACCGCCACTTTGTATTTTTTACATACACAAATTTTTCTCTTTGAAATTTTTCAACCGATCCATATGAATAATATATAGATTGAAGAGGCCTATGTTTGAAAAAAGTTCATCTTGATTCTACTTAAAATTTCAAAATGGCGACCATTTAAATTTTTAAAACTTAAATTACTCAAAAATGGCTGATTTTATGAAAAAATGTCAAGAACACTTATGTTTAGCATTTTTAATTCCCTAAAAAGATAAAATAAGTATAATAGCTGAGATGTAAAAAAAAATTATTTTTAGTTGTAAAATGGGGCGACTATACCTCTCGCCACCCTAAGTTGAGGCAGCCCAGATGGACGGGCAGGGTCATTATCGGCCGGTCCCGCCCGACCCTTTATAATCCGATTAGTGACACTTCCGTGAACGTTCTAGTTCCATAATTGTCATTAACAAAGTTAAAAACCGATGTATAAATTTAGTCTTTTACATTAATAACGTCGATTTAACAAACATTTCCGTTTTTGTCCCATCAAAATCGGACAATGTTTACGGTTTTTGGATTTTGGGATCTACACTACTTTGTTTAGCTCACAAACCGTAAACATTGTCCGATTTTGATGGGACAAAAACGGAAATGTTTGTTAAATCGACGTTATTAATGTAAAAGACTATGTTTATACATCGGTTTTTAACTTTGTTAATGACAATTATGGAACTAGAGCGTTCACGGAAGTGTCACTAATCGGATTATAAAGGGTCGGGCGGGACCGGCCGATAATGACCCTGCCCGTCCGTCTGGGCTGCCTCAACTTAGGGTGGCGAGAGGTATAGCTTAGCCTTATTCTACCACATTTTACTACTGTACTAAACATTCTCGTAAATAAACAAAGTCAATAATAATTGTGGTATTTGTTTGTTGCAGGATGGCAGACCTGATAATACTGTTGGCACTGCTGGTATCAGCTGTTTCAACAATATCCACTGGTCACTTCAATTGTGCCAACTTGTCATCATCTGCCAGCCCATGCAGTTGCTCCAACCAGTCTCCGACACAGTTTGAAATCTTCTGCCCTCAGCTGGATCCCAAGCTCGCTCTACAGATTGATCTCAATTCATCCCCAAGTGTACAGCTCCAATGTACAACAACCAACGACCCAGATTTCTCAATCTTACCGAGTCTTCAGATTGGCGATGTGGACAACTTCTACCTCCGTCATTGCCCTAAACTACCAAACATCTCTATTAGTGAATTGATGTCCAGCTTCGGAATCAAGAGAATCAAAAATCTTCAAATTCAATCCTATAATAGCTATAACAACACACTGAAGAAAAAGCACATGGAAAAGCTTAACTACGTGACGAATCTGAGTTTAGGCAATAACGGACTCACTTCTTTGCCAGGCGACATATTTGAAGACATGGGGAATCTTACTTTTCTAGATATGAAGTTCAATTACGTTGACTTGCCTAAAGAAATATTTTACTTTACACCGAAACTGGAAGTACTGGAACTCGGAGGCAACAACTTGACGTATTTGCCGCCGGGAATTTTCAAGAATTTGGATCGTTTGAGACTCTTGAATCTGTGGTTAAACAGGCTCAATAACCTTACCAGGCCTGTTTTCTCAGGTGTGCCGAATCTCGAGACTCTAGATTTAAATTCAAACCAGATGGAAACCATCAGGCCGGATCTCTTTTCCGATTTGCTTAAACTGACACATCTGAATTTGTATGGCAACGCATTCATTAGTTTGCCTCAAGGGCTATTGTCAAGGAACACCGAATTGAAAGAGTTTCAAATGCATGAAAATAAAAGACCAATTCACTTACCTCCGGGATTTTTGGCGAACCTCACAAAGATCAAGACAGTCAGACTGAGCGGATCCAAGATTACATCTTTACCTGAAGACATGTTCTCTGGATCCATCAACGTAGTGGATTTGCACTTGAATCGCAATTTGCTCACCACATTACCTGATAAGATTTTTCTAGATTTGGAAAATCTTGAATATCTTGATCTAAGTCAAAATAAAATCACAAGTTTACCAGGAGGACTATTCAGTAGAACCGGTAGACTGAAAACATTGAAGCTGTATTACAATCAGATAGCGGATTTACCATCGTAAGTAACTTATCTTGTATGATACTGTCATTAGGTATTTCAAAACGAAGGGTTAATGATTAACATTACGTAGGTCAATGTCAAAACGATCAAATAATAGAATCCTCATTTTATTTCTATCAGTTTTTCAAGTTTTACAATTTTTACTTGGCCTATTACATATTCTTCTTTGCCAATTACTCCAGTTGCAGCAATACAATTAAGCCAGAGTAATATAGCTGATTTAATTTGTATCAGTCTTGGACCCTGTAGTAAACTATAAATATAAATGTTTTATCCTGTGGTCAGATGTTTCATCTGCCAGGTTCTGAAAGCTGACATTTTCCTCTCAAAAACTCTTTAAATTATTTTAAAAACAAGTTATATAAATTGATTTGCCAATATTTTTTACAACTTTCCTCAGAGGAATAGTTTGTAATGTTCCTGTGTTAATCCACCCGCATTGGCACAGTAGGTACCTTCTAAGAACTCGACAAAATATGGACAAGGAGGGTGCTGAATTTAAAAGAACCACGCTATGAGAGGGCTACAAATTAAAACGGAGACTGAACGTAGATATTTTCCTTTTATTTGTCATTTATAGCTAATGTACTCAACACCATACCCCTAACAACAATAAATTTGAATAGAAAGAAAATATATAAACTATTTAAAAAAAATCTTGTTGTGTATCAATGCAGTTTGAAAACTGTAGCTAAAAGTGTGGCAATGTAATCATTTCCATGCATAAAATAATAGTGGTTTAGATACCTTTACTAAACTTATTTCCATGCAGTGGTAGGAAGAAAAATTAATTTGTAATGACGGGTTTGCGAGTTAATCTTCAGTTAAGCGGGACTGACGTGTCCCAGTCTTAAGTAGTTCTAGGTACAAATAGCAAACACGGTGTTTTGTGGTATCCACTAAAGATACCAAGTTCTATAGTTCACCACCAGGAGCATTGTGTTCTGAACAACTTGCGTTCAACTTCCTTTTCGATACCTGAAACATTTGCATTGAAGGGTTGTCAATTGCTGCACTTTTTTAACGACTACTACGAATTGATTCTGTTGTTTTAGCAATAGCTGTAGCCACAATCTATTTATATTTGACTGTTTGATGGTTCCTACAAATGTAAAATCTCAAGTCTGTTAGTCTGTCTGTACTATCTGTCTGTAATACATAAGTCACCATTTTAGCAATAGCTAGAGCATGCACATATCCTATTTCTATATTACTGTTTCAGAAATCTTTTCCTCCAACTGAAAAACCTGGAGTTTCTGGACCTGAGGTTCAACAAACTGAGGGACATTCGAGGGGATCAGTTCAAGACTCTGGACAAGCTGAGGTCTCTGAACATTTCCGACAATCAGTTGACGACTCTAGCGCAGACTTTGCAGCTTGATGACTATGGGACGTACTCGGTGTTGGACAACTGCAAACAACTGGAGCATCTCCAGCTGGCCAATAACTCCCTGACAGAGATCTACGGAGACTGGAGACTGCTCTTTACCAACTTGAAAACTCTCAACTTGTCCTTCAACCGCTTCCAGAAAGTTACGGTGAGAACCTGCGTTATCAGATTTATTATACCCTTATTTCAAATAGAGGAATGAATGAATGAACGAACGAATGAATGAAGTGCTTTATTTTACAAATAAACTTACCTCTTAGAATAATATAAGTATACTTAAAACCAGTGCATGATTTGGAGGGGGGGGGGGAGACAGCGGAACGGAGTTCCAGTACCTCTCATTCGGAAAGATAAAAATATAAACATCAAAAGGTACAAATCACATTATATAGGCTAGGTTACAGTTCGGGCACCTCATTGTGATTGCGGATGATGTAGGCCTACTCGATTGTACACAGACCGCGGAAGACCTTCATGATTTCATTGGGACTACTGAAGACGTTATAAAGTTTTCTGTGACTGCAGAGTATGTTAATTCTTGATTTTACCGTGACCGCGGAAGATGTAAATGGTTTTGCCAAGATCGTGGTGGTGGGTTATGTTCATGATTTCAATATGTTCTCTATCTTGCCTTGCCTACTGAAGGTGTTCTCAATTTTACCTTGACCACGGAAGATGTATAAAATTTCGCCTTGGATATGTACCCAATTTTACACTGACCGCGGAAGATTTTCATGATTTCACCGCGACTACTGAAGTAGATTTTATGAAGTTTGCTGTGACTGCAGAAGATGTTCTTGATTTTACCGTGACTTGCCGAAATTGTGGTTGTGGATTATGTTCATGATTTAATTGTTACTATGGAATATGTTCTCTATCTTGCCGTAACTACTGAAGGTGTTCTCAGTTTTCATTACAGATTTTTCTTTTATTTTGATCCATACAACTAAATCCTAGAGATTTGTACTGTGTGTATATCTAAGCATTATTGTATTCCTATCTTCATGTTGACAATCTATTTTCAGATCTCAGAGTTGGACTTTCTCAGCAACGAGGTGATGATAGATCTTTCCAACAACAAGATCTCTCTGGTGAACTTCTGGGAGTTCCTACTGGTGGCTAACAATCACCTTCAGAACTACACCACATCCTTTGAGCGAGACAGGGTCAAACAGCATAAAGTCAAGCTCGACAACAATCCTTTCAACTGCAACTGCCTTCTTCTGCCTTTTGTTCAATTTTTGCAAAACGGGCTTTCCCCCGAAATTCAGTATCTTTTCAATATTCCCTCCCAAAATTTGAAGTGCTTTGAACCCATGACGTTGGAGAAGCAACCTCTAGCTTTCGTTCCTCAGGACAGGCTGATGTGTGAATTGAAAACACTCGGCTCTTCTCTTACTTGTCCTGCCAATTGTAGTTGCCTTTACAGACCTCTAGATAGAGGCAATGTTTTCAATTGTGAGCACCAAGGATTGACAAACCTCCCAATTTCACTACCTCTGATTCCCAACACTGACCATTCTGAACTGAACTTGGAAGGCAACCAGTTGCACAGTTTCAAACTGCCGAACGGAAGAGGCTATGAGAATCTGACACACCTGTATTTGGCTCATAACAATCTCACAGAGTTCAACATGACTGGAATTTCTCCAAGAATTAAGGTAGGCTAAATGTTTTATGATCATATGTAAAAATGCTTAGTCTCATTGATCAATGTAACTTTATTTCTACTGAAATTGTGAAATAGCTATTTACCTTACAAGTGTAGTAAGAGCGTTTTTACATCACGCAGGTGAATGTTGTGCAACGAGCGGAAGCGAGTTGCATAATTTACCGAAGTGATGTAAACACGCTCTTGCGTAACGTGTAACGTACAAGATTTTACCTGACCCGACAATATACAGGAGGTTACGAACAATATTTTTCATTATCCATTTCACTCATCTCCTAACAGTAACGTTTATTTACAAACAAAAGCTAGGTTAGGAAAATTCTTCAAAACATAACAATAAAATTCAAGTGCACAGCTGATTTCTAGCTGAATTGAACGTCGTTGGCTCCATAGAGGTATATTTTTTAAGTTAAGCACTCAATGTTATTTAAATGGGTTTCATTACATCACAGAGGGAGTTTTTTTCAACTTTACATCACTCGAGAGGTAACGAAGTTATATACATCACGCTTGGGATAGGGAAGTTTAACATGGCGGGTTAGGTAAAAATATTTTATCACATTACATTTTCTATACTACTATATGGCAATTCAGGTACAGTAAATGTACTACAGTAGAGTCCCGCAAACTCGGCACTCGATAACCCGGCAGTCTGGATAACTCGGCCATCACCTGGCACAGAAAATTTGTGATTTTTGAGTCCGAGTTAAACATGGACTCAAGCCAGCTCGAGTCAAATCATTCACAACTCGTACCAAGGATTTGTTGTACTATATCTGATGACTTAATACTGACTTGTAATATAAATATAAATAAAAAAGGCGGTTAAAAATTATAGTGTTTTTATCTTTAACCCTAGTTCTTGATAACCCGGCATTTCACAAACTCGGCACCCTTCCAGTCCACATTACGCCGAGTTTGCGGGACTCTCCTGTACTAACTTACTGGCGTTAAGTAATTCGTTGAGTCTCACTTGCGAGCATTAGTATATCATTTAGTCTTTAGTGGCACTCATTCCGGTTGGCCAACGGTGGCGTGGCACAGTAGCTGAGTTGACCATGGCTTTGCTGTGATGAGTGTTGCTCTGAGGTACATGTGCAAGTTAGATTCCTGTATGTGTACAATTCATATGCTACTAATGTGGTTTAGCTGGTTTTTATGACCCACATTAAATAAACGGTGTCCAGTTTGAATGGTAAGACGGATTTAGTTAGTTTAGTAGGATTGCAAACAACCCCTGTTCTGCTTCTTTTTACATTACTATAAGAAAAGTACACATAATTTTAGGCCTTTTTTAGATTAAGTACAGATATACATATTGTGTTGATAAAACAAAATAACTTTTTTTAAATCCATGTAAATTTATTTCATCTTATTAATTTAATTCATGTGTCATCTGTGAAAAAGCATCTTGAACACCTCTTGTGGCATCGAAAATGTATAATTTTCTTCATTTTTAACATCTTCATGTTCAAAAGTCGTTGTACATTTTTTGAGAATTAATATTGATGAAGCATTGAGCCACCTGCAGAGTGTGCTGACGTAAATTCTGATTGCTGTCGAACACGCCGATTGACAGAAAATATATTTTTGACACTCATTGTGGCTGATTCAACTATCTTCTTTTTGTAAGAATCGTTAATGGTTCTACCATGTATACAAATACACTGAGTATACGTGCATACTCAATGGTTCTACTATTCACATCTCCTTAGATAAAATTCTGTTCGCATGTTCAACAAATTTATGCAAATCATTTGCGATCTTGTTCTTGTCTTCTTGTATTGTGGGTAGCTTTTATCATATAATTCTAAATGTTAACCTTGAACCGATCTGTGATGCAGGTGTTGGACCTGAGCAACAACAACTTGACTGGACTAGCCTCAGAGACAATCACACAGCTAGAGTCAGCTCCAGAACTGATGTATTTGTCATTGCACAACAACCCTTGGACATGCGACTGTGATGCTTTGCCTTTCATACAACTAGTCAAGAAAAGCTATAAAAAGGTAGTTCTGAAATTAAATTCTTTGATTCACAAATAGGGGTCACTGAGTGGTAAACATCTTGAGAAAAGTCACTAGCTTTGGTTGAAAACTGAACTCAGTTGACCTTTCGTAACCAAATAGTAGTTATGTTACGTATTGATAAGCCTGTAAAATCTTTAGCCTAAGTTCTTGGTTTAGGGTTAAAACAATCAGCTCGTTTTCACTTACTCTTATTTTATTTTCCCTTGCTCTTTGTCATGTTTTATCAATAATTCTTGTGACTGCAAGTGTTTCTTTTCGATATAATATTTTGTAATGAAAATTGTATGTTTTATTGGTTGATAATATTATAACTTCAAACAAAACAAAAATTATCCTCGACTTGGTATTTTCCATCCTGATTAAGTTATCATTTGTATTTTTTTTTGCATTTTTCTTTTTGTTCCTACACAAAAACATAACTTATAATAGACCAGCTTTGCATTGCTTAGTGTATAAACCTTATATGCCCTTTGGAAAGTTTTAATCACGGTACGAGTACCAAAAGTAAACACTTTCATGATAATGTTGGAATAATTCTTTTACCTACGACTGTTTTTCTAAGGTAGCTGTTTCAGTTCAGTTCTAAGAATTGAAAAGTTTCACATAACAGCATTGTTTTCTTTCATAACAGCATATTTTTACTCATAACAACACTGGTAACGTTGAACCAATGAGGTTCAAGGATTGAGAGAGAAGAAGTAAAATTGTAATGATTCAAACATCAACTAATCAGCTGTTCAGGCCAATTTAATTGTTGAGTGGTGCAATTAGTGTTTGGTACATGTTTGTTGCATCACTGTCAGTGACAATGAGAGGTTATAAATGAAAACATAACCTCTCTTAGAAGTTATGGGTAGTGATATTTAGTAAATAAAACACTGTCGAAGGTAAAGTAGTGTACGCAACTCGCGTAAAAAGTGTTAACGGCACTCCGTAGAAGTTTTTAAGGCACTTGCCAAGGCTCGTACCTTAAGTTTTCTACTCATGTTGTTACAGTGGTTTACGCAACGATTGCGTAAAGATAGTGTTAACGACACGGCTACTTTACCTACGACGGTGTTTTAATTACTAAAAATCACTACTCATAACTTCTAAGAGAGGTTATGTTTTTGTTTATAACCTCTAATTGCCACTGACAGTGATGCAACAAAACATTGGATCAAATACTAATTGTACCAATCAACAATTAAATTGGCCTGAACAGCTGATTAGTTTAGTTTTGAATCATTACAATTTTGCTTCTCCTCTCTCAATCCTTGAACCTCATTGGTCCGTTACCCGTGTTGTTATGAGTAAAACTATGCTGTTATGAGATACTTTTCAATTCTAACAACTGTACTGAAACGGCTACTTTAAAAAACGGTCGTTGGTAAACTTTATTTTAACGCAATTAAAGTACTATAAAAGTCCAAAAATATTGATGAATTAAACTTGAGGTCCTGATAAGTTTGTTTGTTTAGTAGAATGAAGACAAATCCTAGTGTCTTTAGAATATTTCATCAACTTAAATAGCTGTGTATCTGGGTGCTTAGTTATATCGCTTATCTTATTATCTGTTGGTCACCAGTTTGATCCTGGGTATTTTTTAATGGTTCAAAATAGCTGTCCTTGATTACTTTGCTTTCAATAAATTACTACTGGCTTGTAGAGGCAGAAACCCCTGAAAACTCTGATGTAACATTAAATATTGTAATCATAAATCAAACAAACTAACAAACAAACTCTCTATGTGTCGTGATTTATCTGTAGCCTACACTATAATTTTAGTGTTGGAACATTCTCTTTGGTTGTTATTTTCATTTATTTATTTGATTCCACTTGGAGTTTGAACTCTGCTAAAGCAAAGTTGTCAGTGAGTAAATATTGGTTAAGTACATCCCAGCTATGTCGAAGGTTTGACCTTTTGAATCATTGATGGTAGTAAAAAAAGCAAGTCTTGATTCGAAACTATAGAGAAAAGCTTAAGTTAGTTTGGGATCATACTGTTCATGGTGGACGATTTTACTCAAAGTGCAGGAGGTTCACTTATGGTTGAATTACAAGGGTGTCCAGCCGACCTGTAAACCGGGAATTGTTGGTAAAATTTTATAACAGGGGAAAAATCTGTGAATTTTGTAAAGAATCTGGAAACTAAATTTTTGAATAGTAGCCAAAAATTGGCCCGAATTTTTCTCGTTTTGCATATTTAGTAGAAAATTGTCTTTGCGATTTTCTAGAGGGAAACTAACACGAATAACGGAAGTTGCCGCGATCACAAGAAATGATTAGTCAAAAATCATCACAAATTTAACCGCGATCACAAAAATAGTCACGTGTGTTGAGGTGATCACCAATGTTGCCGCGATCATGTGAAATCATCACAGGTGTTGTCAATATTGTGGTATATAATCACAATTTTGTTTCCCCAATCGTGAAAATAATCAAAGGGGTTGACATGATCATCAGGAAAATGAGTGCATGTTGCTGCGATCGAAAGACATTACTGTATAACCTGTTTTGCCGTGATCATGAGAAATCATCAACAGTTTTGTCACAATCATAAGTAATGAACAAGGAATAGCTGCAATTGCAGAAAATCATCAGAAACTTTGTAGCAATTTTAAGATATATTCACGGATGACCTGTTAATGAAACAGCTGGTCTTGGTCAATAACAACACAAAGCATAACCAACTTCACTCATATTTTGGTTAAAGCAAAATTATACCCTTTTGCACCACCATATTAATTGCGACTGATAATGATAAAAGTAATAATAGTAATAGAGTAGATTTAAATAGTAAATAATTACTAATTCATATTTTTACTTTTCAGGTAAGCTACAACGTAACCTGCGCAGATGGACGTTCAGTAGATAAAGTGCTTGAAAGCGAGCTGTGTACTGAGAAAGCAAGCTTGATCATCTTTGGTTGCATTCTTGTTGCAATTTTATGCTTTGTTGTCGCACTGGTAACCACACTTTACTACCGTTACCGAACAGAAATTCACGTTTACTGTTACTCGAGCGAATGGAAGGCACTTCAGTGGCTGGTGTCCAATCCGGACTATGACAAAAACAAGAAGTACGACGCTTTTGTCAGCTACGCCAACGAAGACCATGATTTTGTTGTCCAGAAGCTAGTTCCTTTCTTGGAAGGCGAGAAGAGTTTTAAACTGTGTTTACACTACAGAGACTGGGTTCCCGGCGATGGCATCCAAGAACAAATTTTGAAATCGGTTCAAAGCTCTCGGAGGACTATTGTCGTGCTGTCTCCGAACTTCTTGAACAGTGTGTGGGGAACTGTCGAGTTCAAAACGGCTCACGCTGAAGCATTGGAGAGTGGAACTTCTAAAGTCATCGTAATCGTTTACGAGGACGTAGGTTCATCTGCCGATCTAGACGAGGGCCTCAAGGCTTACCTTCAGATGAACACCTACCTCAAGTGGGAAACTCCGTGGTTTTGGAAACAGCTGGTTTACGCCCTCCCCCACCCTCCAGAGAAGGGTGAAGATCTGAAGTCCATCTTCGGGCGTCTCCCGAAAATCAGTAGTGACTCTAGGAATCACGAAGTTTTGAAAAATGTGCAGCTAAAGAACGGTGAAGTGCATTACATAACCGAGTCGTCTGAGAAGGTGAATGGGAAAGAAGGGCTTACTTCTCCAGCTAATAACACTACTTTGATGATTGAATCTATGATAGAAGAAACTAAACCTAAAAAAACCTCTCCAGAGAAGCAGAACGGAGCTGCAATGGTAGCTATGTAACCTAAACAACGACCTGGTAAAATTTGAATAGCTTTAGAAATACGAGAACTTTTAATGTCATGACTTCCACGCATCAGAATCTTCATTTTTTTAAGATTATAAAGAAACTGTGTAAGTGTTTTGAGAATGAATGTAATGGAAAACCAAAGAGCATTCTTATCATGTGGAGGAATCTGAGGTTTTATTACTTTGAACTTTAAAAATAAAATGTGATCTAGTTTTGGTTTTACTTTGATCTGTGCTAACCACTTTTGAATGATGCAGTTCATTGTTCGATATCACGTTTATCGGTGAGTCATGAAAATACAACTTTTTTAGACTCAAATTTCAAGATTCTTAGATTTATATTTTGTGAGGCCAGAGCTTTACTAGACTGTCAAAAATCTAAGATAACCTGATGATCTGAGAGATGTATATCTCCCTAATTGTAAATATTGTAAATAATGTAGATACTGTGTAAATACTAAGTATTGTAAGTCATAAAGCAGCCATTGTAACAGGCAATTCTCATTAATCGATAGGATTTTACTCATGTACCCATTATTGTGCCAATTGTTTTAAATCATTCCACTAACTAATAAATTGTAAAATTAAGTGGTGTTTTTAACCAAATACGCAATCTCATTTGTATCAAGAAGTAATATCTGTTTAAAGATCTTTATTACAGCTGTTTGGAAGATGTTTAATTTTTAAACGAAATACCCTAGTAGTTGTACAAAAAATTTTTCCAAGTCTATTTTTTGCTACACTACTGTGAAATCACCTGTTTTCGTTATATATTTTTATCGCCATCAAAAATTCATCATTATATTGTTTAACTTACTTTGCAAAAAAATGTTTAAAATCTTGTTTAATTTTCCGGACATTACAAACATTTTTTATTGTTCCATCAACTGAAATGGACGTGGGAACACGGTTTTAAATAGTATACTTAACCTAAAAAAAATCCTAACTGTAATAAATAAATATTCCAATGTCTGTTTTAAATTTAAAAAATAATTAGTTATTGTAGTGTAGCGAAACAACATGAGTTCAAAACATGAGTGAAAGAGTGTCATTACATATTTGAGACCATTATGTTTGAAGTGCAAGATCGAGCACTTTAAACATTTAATGACTCACTTTCTACTCTTCTTATAAAATATACTATTACAGTAGGCCGTGTATAACAATGCTATAAGTCATTTTGAACTAAGTTACCACCATGCTATGTCAACTTATAAAACAATCTAAAGATCTTTTTTTTACTTCTGCAATTGCTCAACCAACCAATGGCATAACCTAATTAATTAAACATAGACAATGTAGTAGATATCTAGAATAAATTAACATACTGAACTATGTCATCAATGTAGTCATAAAAACTGAGAAAAAGGTACCTCTTTTGTTGTTGAAGTTCATAATCTATAACTCAAAATACAGAACTATATTTAGCACCTATAAATTTTTTCATTGACTACTGAATCGATTAAGTTTGTTTCTGCAGTTTCGTATTCAATTTTAGTTTTAACTCTTATTGCAATTGTAATTGTATTGTTTTCTCGATAATTGGCAAATCTTAAACTTAAATTTTAGCTTTCTTCCATTTTTGTTTCTGATACAAATTATACATTGAACTCTATAAATATCTAAAAAAAAAATATATGAATGTATAATTTAGTTATTTCACTTTGTATTTTTATTCTGTAAATCCAGATAAGAATGTCTGATATCTGAGTAATCTTTACGTCTAATGCGTACATTACTCTTAGTAGAATATTTATTTTTTATTGCTATTTTTTTTACAAAAATATGTTTTGTGTAAATACTCTTAGCATTTTCTGCCCAGAATTTCAGTAAATTGTATTGTGTGTAGTGTTTTTATGTACCAAAACTCAAAATATTTTGCTGTGTGATTTAATTTTGATCTGTATGTCATAACTTCTCAATTTGTGTTAGTAGTTACGCTTTTAACATGTTTTAGAGTGTGATAAATATTTGTCAATTAGACTCTCAGGGCTAAGTTTAGTGACTTTGCCCCTTATTGACTTAGTTTTATCTCTGAACGCAGAGACAGTGATAGTATAACAAGGTTTATCTATACATTTGTAAAAGTTCGTTTAAGCTAAGTGTAAATTCAAACTTTGGTCAGATTAATTTGTTAAGACTGATAGTTTTAAGCGCCAAACATAATGTATTTTGTACTAATTTTTGTATGCAGGTGAATACAATATTTTGAACAAGATTTTTGTTTTAGTTTTTATAATTTTTTCCTTCACATTCCCCCCCCCCCCTCGCTCTTTAAGTTATAAAGTAGGAATACTGCTCACATTATTGTTATAGCCTAATTAAATAGTTAAAATTACAACTACAAATTCAATCTACAATTCACAAGACAACAACTATTTACTAAATATCACTTGAAGTCAGTATTTTTTAAAAATGATTTTGGAAAAGTGGATACATATCTTTTTTGTTCCTAATATAATTGTCAAAGAACAAAATAATTTGGAGATATGGAAATTTCCATAAAATAATTTATTAGCTAATACCATGTCTACTTCTTTTAATCTATGCTAATACGGATCTAAACTTTCGAGAGTCGCATACTTGAATGAACTCTTGATGTGAAACTTTCCTGAAAAATATTAGTTTTTTGTCAAACCCTCTGTCCCGCTCCAAAAGACAAAAATATCATGTTTGTAAAAAACATGTTCTTTGCCAGATTTTTACATGCATTTTTGAAAGTACGCATTTATTGAAAGTAGACTACGAAAGTAATTTATGTTTAAAGACTTCACATATAAGCCCCAATTAGTATAGCCTACCGAAATTTATTTCAAAACAAATAGAAGTTTGCTAATAAGTTGACTATAATTTTTTTGTGATGTTTTGCCACTGCAGTGGAAGGCCCCTGCTTAGTGCTTGGAGTCCTCCAAATGCGGTTGGTTGGTGTTCTTTCTTAGTTGTACGCTGTTGCAGTTCAGGAATATCTTGCTTTTCCTTGTGGCTGGATAGTTAGTTATGAAACTAATCAAATGACTTTAAAGTTATCGGTGGATATTTAAAATTAAAAGACACCAATTTAGTTCTTCACTGGGTGCTAGCGACTTAAGCGGCGATTGCGCAAATTACCATCACTAAACTGCTTATGTAGATGGATGGGAAATTCAGATAGGTGGGCACGTTTTCCCTAATACGTTTGTAGGCTAATTATATCGACCAATGAATTGTCAAACCCATGATGTATTTTGCTGTCATTTTAACATAGCCCTACACAAAAAAACTGTATTTGCTGTATTTGTATATTTAAGATATGATAAGCCCAAATAGGCTACTGCAAACTTATCAACAAAACAGGTTTCTAGGATAAGAAGTCTGCTTGATTCAATTTCCAAAATCTACGATTAAAATAAAATGTCCCTTTTAGGCCTAATCAAGATCCAAGTCCTGTTACTAACTGTTTTAGCCATATATATATTTACTTTCCGCAAATTTAATAACACGTACAATGCTGATCAAGAAATTATATAATATTTATACCATATTTATTATTTATAGCTACCATAAATAATAGCTATTACTGTTGCCTCTGAAGTTGTACATGAGACTCAAAAAAGGATAGTTTTGAACAGTTAACAGTTTTAATACTTTGTCATAATTTTACCTAGCTCCTCAGAAAACATGCATAAATTATTAATTCTTGAACAATCAAAATTTATATATATACTCCGTTTACAAAATGTTGTATGCGATTTTTTTATCTATTCCCTCCACGTCTTGATCCAAGGCCACATTAAAAAAAGTTTTTTAGTGTGGCCTTGCTTGATCCTAACATAGCTTTAGCTCAACAGCCAACAGCTGAGAACTGATATTTTGTCAAAACGGCAATCAGCTGAAAAATAGACAGAAAAAGTGGTAGAGGGACCTCCTCTAAAACCGCCAAAATTTTGACACTGATTATAGTAATAAAATTGAATATTTTTATACTTTTGTTTGACCTGACCAACCATAACAAATGCACAATACAATAAGTCATTAACGAAACTCGGGTACAGATGCACGGCATGAACACCAACTACAATGTTAACAAAATGTTAATGCCTTCAATAACTGAGACACTAACTGTGCAGTACATCTAAGATCAGTTGTTGCCGTTCAAAGGCTCGAGCGCAGAGATTACAATCCATCTATGTTTTAAATTTAATAAATAGTTACAGTACTAAGGTTATAAGGATTTTCTTTTATGCTAAACCATAGACCTTAGAATACACAAGATAGACATCACCTATAGAGACGACCTTGTCACTGGCTAGGGGATTACAAAATTTGTACAAACGAATTATGCCAATATTTAGTCCACAGGTCGTTTGATCGAATTCAAACACAAGGACATGGTCAAAAAATTCAATGAGAGGCACGATAGTTTTTATTGAAGGTACTAAATTGAACGAAGTAGGTGCTAAAAGAAGACCAAATTCAAGCATTTTCATAACTCAGTTCAGGTAGAGGTAGCCTACTATTTTTGGTTTAAGGTACCTACTAAATAGACGTAGTTAGATTTTTGTTGGCAGTTTTAATTGCAGAAAAATCATTTTAGGCTAGAAATAAATTATTATTAACAACATTTGAAGGAAATAGTCGAAGCCGTTTTCGAGATCTTTGTGCAAGCATACAAACATACAAGCACACCTGGCGACCAAGCCTAGCCTAGCATTTATGGGGTAGCGGATTTTTATCCCCCTGGAATTTTCCCCCCTGGGCAAACGTGACGTCACAAACCAGGGGGTAAAATTCCGGCCGCGAACTTTTGAGTTTCGCGACATCAGCTCGATGGATTAAACGCGGAATTAAACATATATTTTCACGGTTGTGAATTTAATCAGAACAAATCAAATTATAAAAACCTAGAATGTACGGCCCGGATTTTTACCCCCGGAATTTTACCCCCTGGCCAGATATATAAATTAGTGAGAATGATTAATTTTCTTCATTCAGTTTTAATTTAATAGTTAACATTTTATTATTAAGTAGCCTATCTTAATTTATTTGTAACATTAACTAATCGAACAGGTCTTTAATTTTAATTTTGAGATTTGAGTGTCAGGATTTGATCTTTGAAGCCAACTGTTGGTTAATATGATCAAAATAAAACAGCGAATTCTGTTTACTTAGTTGAGATTACAAAATAAATGAATAAAGATAGGCTACTAAATAATGGCATGTTTACAATTAATTAAAAACAGAAATAAGAAAATCAATCATTCAATTTCTAAAATCGGCCAGGGGGTAAATTCCGGGGGTAAAATTCTGGGGGTAAAATTCCGGGGGGTAAAAATCCGGGGGTAAAAATCCGGGGGTAAAATTCTGGGGGTAAAATTCCGGGGGGTAAAAATCCGGGGGTAAAATTCCGGGGGTAAAAATCCGGCCCGTGCATCTTCAGTTGTCTAAACGCTAGTTATATGGACAGGGGGTAAAATTCCGGTTTTTATCGCTAATCTAATTAATCACGCTCTGACTATTTTCATTAGACTTCCAAATCCGCGGGGGTAAAATTCCGGCCGCGAACAAACTTTTGGCCACTCAGGTTACTACGTCATAATCACGTCAGCATTGCCCAGGGGGTAAAATTCCAGGGGAATAAAATTCCGGCGTCCCGCATTTACCATATCAAACTCACTTTCAAGAAACAAATGGATCAGTGGAAGACAATTTTAATTCTCATGTATGTTTTTGTCCATTAAAGCTAGAGTGCGAGTGCTTTTTTTATTTTTAAAGACTATTGAAGACACTTTATTTATGTATTATTACTACTTCAAAACTACAACTGCTTGTTTCGACTAAATCCCAGTAGTAAAGCTGAGGAGAAACTTTAAATTTACCTGAAACATGCCACCAGAATTGATATACTCAAGCGATTTTATACCAAAGACAAAAATAATTAAATATAGACCATCAGCTGTGCTGCGGTACCATAGGTTCTGGCGCACACCGCTGGGAGCGCCATGTAGTTACGGCGTTAGCGCTAACTGCACGGCACTCCCAGTGGTGTGCGCCAGAACCTATGGTAACCATGGTAACCGCAGCACCACTGACAGTCAATATTAAATTCTTTTGTCTATAGTCATACATAGTAAACCATAGTTCCGAATAATAAGGCAAACCATCATGATGATAGAGTAGGTAGTCTGTTTGCAGTATCAAAATTCATTGCCAGTTTTCTTCTCACTAAAACATTAATGAAAGAACCAATATACATAACATTAATAAGATATGCAAAATATTTAAGAATTTCATCACACAATAAATTAATTGTTAGGTCACTTAGGCAATTTGGTATCTACGGCCAAGGACACGAGACCTTTCCGATAACAGCTTGCACAAGTCGCGATATAAGTAAACTTAATTGACATGACAAGAAAAATAGTCTTGTAAACAAAACAAAATGTAAAAACAAAAACTGTTCCAATTAATAAAAAGTACAACTACCTATAAACAGTAAAGTTAAATCTCTTTTGTCAATGAAAAACTAAAATATTTAAATGCCTAATTTAAGTTACTTTTCTGTATTATTTCGATTACTGATTACTACATACCCTGTTTTCGGTCAAAACAAAAATCAATGAGCTGCCGGAGCCTTCAAACCTAATTAGGTAGATCTATTGTTAGGTTTGGTTTGATCTGGGTATTTGCATAGGATATAATTTTTTTTTATAAGAAAATTAAATAACTACCCGTTGACTAACCAGCTTGCACTTAACGGAGTTAAGGATAGTTAACGAATTCTAATCCAATTTCATAACTATCTTATGAAGATTAAACAAGAATTTATTCTTACATAAAATAAGCCTACAACATTGAAAAACTATTTGCAAAAATGCATTGTCTTTATTTGAATTTCATTTTTACATTCGGAAGAGTGAATGGGGTGGAAAGGGCTCCACAGCGAACGTGGGAGGTGCAACGACCAAGGATAAGGCAGACCGAGACCCATCTAATGACAAACCATAGGAACTTTAAACGAATCCGACCTTGCAGACAATGTCGGAGGCCTTCTGGACGTCCATAGTGGCGAGGATGATGGGCGATGGAGGGAATCGTTGGTTTGGGTCTAGGAGGATTAAACATTAAATTAATTAGGATTATTGGATTAACAGTTAATCCTCCTAGGTTTGGATGCATATGCCATTATCTATGATGACGATTCACCGAATCCGATCGTACATGTTACCATGTTACCATGTT